CAGCATTGGATTTATTAAGAGAGAGACAGAGTCAGACTGTTTTAAAGGAGGGAGGATTGTAGTGAGAGTACTGCAGTGTCAAGTGTGACTGTGCAGCAAAGTGTTTACATGGCTCACGATTCAGGAAGGAGGGCCTGGTAGAAGGATTTTGCTTAGGGCCCCAGGGGGATCAGAACCGTCTCTGCTCTCGCGCTTTGAATGCAGACAGTTTGTGACTGAGTGGTAACATAACTGGTTGAGATTTTCAATGTAAAGCACCCAAAAACTGAAGCCATCCTTGCTCTGTTTGGGACTGTGAGCTGCTCTTTATCAGTGGTGAAGTTAACATCACAAGTGTTCAATTATCATCCTAACATACAGTCCCAAATGGGGTTCTGTGTCTTTCAGATGGTCTGGAAGGGATACTACCACAGAAGCAGAGCAACAACGCAGGCTAATCCTCCACACAGTGTAGGAAATATGCACTTGTCCTCTTGCTGCTCACTTTTCCTTATAGTGATACGCTGTAAGTTACACTGCTGTATTCAAACTGGAGTGAATATTTAAAGGTTTTTGTAAGATCAATAGAGTGAATGTGTAGCTCATTTTGCTTTTGATACTTTTACTTGAGTGGTATTTTACTGGATGACTTTTAGTTGAGTAACATTATAGTAAATTGAGTGCTTTTTCCACCCCTGCCGTGCAGCACACAAGCACAAAGACACAGCTCACCTCCAGATGCAGAGACCAGAGAGAACAGAAGAAAGACACAAGCTACATATCAGCAGAGAGAGAAATGAGAGCAGAGCAGTTCTCTTGGTGATGGTGAGGCTGCCGTTGACCATTGAACACAGACTGATCGAACACGAAGGGCGGGGCTTCAGCTGATGACCCAATCAGACAGGAACTACTTTCCTTCTCCCTGCAGCACAAACCTTCTGACATTAATATTTTATCTGCATCACATATTCAGAATAATTTGTTCATCATCAGACCGAAAAAGCCACACATACTGAAGGCATATGTAACAATTCATACTTTGATATGAACATTATACATAAAGTAACAACAATTAATTCACTACTGTAAACAGGCTACAGAGAACTTGACACCTCCTGATGACTGTCCAGTGGCTGCAGTGACAAGAAGCAGCCAGCAGGTGGCACCACATCAGCACAGAGAGAGAGAGAGAGAAAGAGAGAGAGAGAGCGAGAGAGAGACGTGCAGAAAGAAGAGAGGACACATAATAATCTGTTTTTCTCAAAGTAAACGAATTGAGAAATTAAATCAACATCATCATGGACTTCCTGCACAGAGCTGCAGTGTTTCTCAGATTAATACATTCAAACTCAATGTTTCTCAGCTCCACATATTTCATGTTACCACACAGTTCTTGTGTTAAGTCTATGTGGTATCTGCTTTTTTAATTTTCTAAGAAACACATTTACTTCCGCTTTCACTAAATCTAAAAGATTTTTGTGCTCATTCACAGCACTGAATGTAAATATAAGCCTGGTTTTAATCTGCAGATGTAAAATCTTAAGTGATGTCTGTCAGCTTTATTTACTGATTCTGTGTTTTTTGTTGGAGTTCAAGTATTTTATTATTATTATTATTATGTGTGTAACATGAAGGTTTGACAGGTTGCGTTTCTGTTGAACTGACTCAGTCTCTTCTCATGAGGCCTGCCCACGGAAATGCCTGGGCCCCTGAAAAGGTCCAGTAAATGGGCCCTCCGCAAATCTGCTTTACTTACGTATGTACACGTACATGGCTTGCCGCATGCAGTGCACTTTTGATGTATTGACATTGCATATAACAAATATTATTTATACCATTTTCAGGATCTTCAGGGTTTTCATTATGAAACGGGCTATATTTTACTAAAGCAACATTCATTAAATTATTAGAATTTTTTGTTATTTTCATAATTAATGGTGCATTATTTGTTAAATTTGGTTATCTTTGCTTATATTTATAATGAACATCATTAGTGCTGGACGGGCACTAGCTGCATGGGCCCCCCTAGCAGCTGGGCCTCAAAATGCTTTCCCCTTTTTCCCCCCTTATGGGCGGCCCAGCTTCTCATTGCATTTAACCGAAAGACTGGAATAAAATTTGACTGAAATAGAAACACCCTGCCGTCACACCCTGCAACTCAACCCTCCCCCCCCCGAAATTCCTGACAATGAAGTCCTTCTTAAATGTCTCATCTGGTGTTCCAGCTGTCGCTGTCAAGTGTGTCTGAGCTGAGGATCAAAATAGTTTCCTTTTGAAAGTTCACGCTGTGTTCACGTCGCGTTCACGTGTGGTCATGCGCTGCACTCATGGCTGCTGAGTGATTTGAAATCCAGGACTTCAGAGCTTGTCAAGGAATTTTTCCCTCCAAGAAGTGCAAGAATCCACATAATAATATTGAATAATATTGAATAAAGAGCTCACTCACTAAGAGAGTCTTTCTAAGAGTTTCACTTTCAGAGTCAGTCAATCGTTAACAGAGTTTCGGGCTGAGAGCAGCTTTTTTTTTCAGTGTCCAGCAAGAGTAGAGAGAGGACTGCGCCAAAATCCTGATTCAGAGTCATGGGGGGGAATTTGGAAGTTAAAATTAACTCGCAGCTGCTTCAAAACGCACTCTGCGCTCTAAATGTCTTGTCACAGATGACAGGCAGGATCAAACAGACATTTCACTTTCATCTCTCTGCTAGAGTTACAGTTAAGGAAGGTCAATCCTGCTCTAGAAGCAGGACGCTGTTCAAAAGTAAACAAATAACTGACATGAAGTCTGATTTTATTTTGAGAGAAGTCAGACTGTGAGAAAGCCTGTTTTTAACAACTGTTCTGGAGTTGAACTCCCTGAGGCAACCCATTTTCACTCCCAAGTCATTACTTCATGGTCCCCTTGGTGTCAGTTTGTAACGCACTGGGGGAAGCCCTGCAGAGTCAGTTTTGATGTTAAAAGTAGGTGTAGGATATTTAACAGAAAAGTCAGAGTAAGGAGGTGGTTGTGGTGGGAGGATGGATGGGCCACTCACGTAAGTTAAGCCAAACCATGATGTTATTTCTAACCCCAACCAAGTAGGTTTGGTCCCTATATGTAGCCAGGGTTTTAAAAAGTGAAGCCAAGGGGTCCTGACATCGTGGTTACATGTATTAAAGCTGATACAACCTGGACGGCTGCCTGGAATCTCTCAGTTGAGGTTAAGTTCAGATCAGACCTGCATCAACAAGTTTGAACTCAAGTACTGTACGTAAGCAGAATTATAAGTAATGGTATTTAAAGGGACAAACACAATACAGCAACAGGCACTAATAGTGTCTCAGCTTTTCCTTTTTCAGAATCAGATAAGAATCAGAAATTCTTTTGTCACAATTGCACACTCAAGTCAAGGTAGATAGATAAAGAGTATATAAATATAAGAGTATGCATATAAAACATAAAGACAAAAGGATTGTGGGCATGTACAATATTTTCATTATTAAGAATTATTATGGTGAACCAAAAAGTACTAGTGAATAAATAGCAGCAGAGAATATTGCACATTAGTTATTAAAAAGATAATATTGCACAGAGAAAAAAAAAAGATAATAAGGTCTAGTTTAATAACTGACTAAGTGGCAGACACTTAAAGGGAGGAGTTATAACGTTTGATGGCCACAGACAGGAATGACTTCCTGTGGCACTCTGTGGTGCATTTGGGGTTTGGAGTCTTGTACTCAAAGTGCTCCTGTGTTTGAGCAGCACGTCATGGAGTGGGTGGGAGACATCCAAGATGACATGTAGCTTCCTCCTCTCTGACAGCACCGACAGAGAGTCAGCTCCACCCCCACAACGTCACTGGCCTTGCGGATCAGTTGTTGAACCTGTTTGCGTCCGCTACCCTATTTGTCCTTGTGTGTTAGTTTTACTTTCTGGTTAATTTAGGAGTTCTCTGTGTCTGGTGGTTTTGTCTAGCTTTGGTTCCTGTTCAGACAGATTAGTCCTATGTGTCTCACCTGTGTTCAATTACTCTGCCCCCTATGTTGCTCTATATAGGATTGCTTGTTCCCTTTAGTCTTGTCGCTTCATTGAATCTTATTCGTGCTCTGTCTTGTGCCTTGTCTTTCTCCAGTCTGTTGTGTGTTTCCTGCCTGGATGTTTGAGGAGTTATTCCTTACCCGCCTGGATTATTGTCTGACTAATGTGATTTGTATTTGGACCTTAGCATTTTTGGGCTCCGCGTGTTTGGACATTCCCCTTTCTGTTGGATTTGTTTGCACTCAACCCCTCAACTTAAGTGTGTGTGCCTTTTTGTTCACAGAACTGAATTTGCCTAGCACCTGTCCTGCATTTGGGTCCTCAGCCTGTTCCACTTTATCAAAACCTGACACTTGCCAGCCTGGATCCCTGTCTTTCAATGGTCTGTTGATTCAAACACAGTGCCATGTCTCTGGAAAACGGCACTCATTCTATTATAATGAAGTGTCTAGAAAAGTTGATGTTGTGGAAGCTGAACTCAAACTTGAAAGATAGCTAGAGCCTATACAGACAATTGTAGTTCTGATGCAGTGCTAACCATAACGCAATTTATTCTTTGAAAACCCAAAAGCCTATGCCAGACTGCTTTTTGCAGACTTTAGCTCTGCTTTTAAAACTCTGCAGCCACGCATCCTTCTAAGTAAACTCAGGCAGATGTATGTTAACCCATACATCATCGGATGGTATTACATAGTTTTCACCAACAGGAGTCAGCAGCCCTGCGACCCTGTACGCAGGATAAGTGGTTGACGATGGATGGATGGAGGAATCAGCAGGTCAGAGTGAACTGATTAACTGAGTTTAAAGCTATCAACACAGGTGTTCCTGCCCTCATCAGGTAGACACTACAGGGTTCCAATTCAATACAGGAAAAGATACCTGATCATAAAAACTTTGTTGTTCCTCTTATCAGTTAATCTCCTAAACTCAGGATCAGGATGTTGTGTTTTTTTGTCATTAAATGGACCAAGTAAGACAATTTAAAGACATTTTAAAAACACTGTACCAGAATGAAAAAATCTTTATTTAAAGTTTTAATAAAATATATTAAAATACTCAATGAAAATGTTCAATGGCTTTAGCAGTTTAAAATTAAATCTGAAAATATAAAAAATAAACTCTTTACACAGGTTTGTTTTTCTAAACGTTACCCTGGGGTGATATTGTTCCATTGTGGAACTGCCTATAGGGATGAATGCGTAAAAGAGAGTAAACAAAGTTTACATTAAAAATCTCTGAAATATGCTGAAAATACTGATGGAAGTTGACAAAGCACAGAAAGTCAACAAAATGCATCACACTATCAATAAGTAAAAACAGGCCTGCCGTGGACAAATAAACACCTTTAGTCGGTACAAATGTTGATGTGCACCAACAAATTGTCACACAGCTTTCTGTAACGTGATGGATGACTGTGAAGATGGTAGCCTGGAAAAAGGTAAATCTCTGCACTGCTTCGATTTTACCACTGAGTTGACTGACTGTCACCCTATATATCTGCCTGGGATCATACCTGTCTGACCAATTACCTACCTTTCTTCCTACATAGCTACTTCACACACAGTAATAAATATATTTTTAAAAAAGATATTAGGTAAAAGCTTCCAACATGTTATGTTAATGATTTTTTTTACAAACGAGTTGATGGGGGATAAACATTCTGCTGCAAGCTGTTTCATAATGACACTCGTTTTTTCTTTACAGGGGTGGCTCCTGCCCCTCCATAAAAGCACAGACTGTTACAGGTAAACTTTAGATTGAGCCTAATGATAGGGGTTATAACTGCTATAGCTTGCTAGTCACCATAATTAGCTTAAGCCTATGGCATTTTACACTTCCCTGTAAAACATAAGTGGGTATAGTTAATAGTTGGATGGATATTATTTTCATACTAAACCAGGTGTGTTCAGTGTTGCTTTACCTGGTCGATTTGGTACTCTCTTGTTTGGGTAAAATAACTATGTTACTTATGTGACTTAACTTACATACTTAACTTACATAACCTACATGATTTTGCTAAAACAATGTTGACTTTTTGTTTCATATAGGAACCCACCACCCAGGCCACTCTCAAGTCTTCACATATGGATGCATGATGAAGGACCCTTGGTGTCAGTTTGTAACACACTGGGAATCCCCTTTGTGTCAGAGTTTAACTCACGGGGGAAAGGCCTGTAGAGTCAGTACTTAACGGCAAAGCTACATGTAGGATATTTAACAGAAATGTCTGAGGGGGTTTGGGTCAACGGGCAGGCCAGAAACTGGACTTTCAGTCAGGATGCAGGTGTTCATTCCCTGTGTTTCATCAATCCATGAAGGGGGAAAATATTTGTTTGGGGATCCTCAAATGTTAGATTTACACCCACACACACCAGAGTCTGTGACAAGTCAGATGAGCTGATCAGCCGTGGATGGTCCTGATTTCTGGTCCACATGTCTCTTATATATCCAGCCAACAACCAATCCAACAGCAGCAGCTAAACAAACCAGAACAAAAGCTGCTCCCAGTCCGTAGTAAAGACCGTAGTTTCCCACCTCGACGTCTCCGCTGTTGGACCCTGAAGATCAAAGTGCATATTAGTCAGGAAATGAGTGAACAGTGGAACAGCCTCCATTTACTCTTCTATATCTTCTATATTCCTCATGTTTGACTCTCAGAATCAACATGGAATAAACTGCAGCTACAACATGGCACACAGACACACTGACCTCCACAAACTCACCTGAAACCTCCAGCTGGTAGATTCTGATTGGCTGAGCTTTAATATTGGATCTCTTATTACGTCTTGAATCACCTGCTGCAACTCGGCACTCGTATGTTCCAGCATCGTTGCTGTTCACGTTCTTCAGAATTAAAGACACGTCTCCGTCCTTCAGCTCTCTGTCCACCAGCTGCACCCGGTCCTTAAAGGATGGATGCTGGTGGGTTGGAACTGAGTTTCGACTTCTGTAGAAGAGGACGTACTCTGGCTCCAGGTCAGGTCTGATCCACTCTACAGCTCTGATATAGACATTTCCAACCTGACATGGCAGAACAACATCATCTTCAGGTGTCACTTGTACCACATCTAAAATCAATAAAAACATCCAGAGAGAAAAAGTAATTACATTTCAAAAGGACTCCACAGGACGATACAGTGAGAACATCTTTGTTTAAACAGAAGGCCTCTTCACACCTGAGATCATGGGAACATTCAATAATTAGTCACAACTGTGGAGACATTACAGGATTTTAGTCACACAGTGTTTAACAGACTTGTTGTCTAATTTCTCTGGACCCCTGCCAAATCTGACCAGTGATGACATGTATAGCCGCATGTCGTCATTCCGCCGCTGGTTGTCGAGGTGGTCCAGCAAACGATGTGGGCTTTGTTGATCATTGGCAGACTTTCTGGGGAAGACCTGGTCTGATCCGGAGAGACGGCATCCATCCCACTTGGGAAGGAGCAGCTCTCATTTCTAGAAATCTGGCCAAGTTTATTAGTGGACCAAATCCATGACAACCCAGAGTTGAGACCAGGAGGCAGAGTCGCAGTTTAACAAACTTCTCTGCCCTTCTTTTTCAGCAGTTACCCACCCAAAACCCTACGCAGAGTCGCAGTCTAACACACTTCTCTGCTCCTCCATTTCAGGAGTTACTTAGTGAAAATCCTATAGTGACGGTGTCTGCCCCCGACCATCGAAATTATTTAAAAAGGTAAACAGAAGAGGAGCTGTGCATAAAACCTTATAAAAATTAAAACCACAAGAGCAATAGTGCAAACGAATAGGAGAGTTAAATGGGACTCTTAAACATCAGATCTCTCTCTCTAAAGGTGTACTAGTAAATGAACTAATATCAGATTATGATATTGATTTATTTGGTCTTACTGAAACCTGGCTGGGTGATGGAGAATATGTTAGCCTAAATGAATCCACCCCTCCCAGTCATATTAATACTCCATTCCTCGAGGCACAGGCAGAGGAGGTGGAGTTGCAGCTATCTTCGACTCTAGCCTATTAATCAGCTCTAAACCTAAACTAAACTATAACTCATTTGAAAGTCTTGTTCTTAGTCTTTCGCACCCAAGTTGGAAATCACTGCAACCAATTCTTTTTGTTATAGTGTACGAGCACCTGGCCCGTATTCTGAATTCTTATCTGAATTTGCAGAGTTTTTGTCAACTTTAGTCCTTAAAACGGACAAAGTTATTATTGTAGGGGATTTTAATATTCATGTAGGTTGAGAATGACAGCTTCAGTACTGCGTTTATCTCTTGTTAGATTCCATCGGCTTCTCTCAGAGTGTTCATGAACCGACTCACTGTTTTAACCACACCCCGACCTTGTTTTGGTGTATGGTATTGAAATTGAACATTTAGTGGTGTTCCCACAGAATCCCTCTTATCCGACCACTGTTTGATAACTTTTGAGTTTGTATTGCTGAACTACTCGCCATTGGGCAAAAATTTCTATACAAGATGTCTGTCTGATAGTGCCATAGCTAAATTTAAGGATGCGATTCCATCAGCTCTAAATACATTATCTAGTCACAAAGTAACGGAGGACTCCTATGCTAATTTCAGTCCCTCCCAAATCGATCATCTTGTTGATAGTGCTGCAGGCTCGCTGCGAATGACACTCGACTCTGTAGCCCCTCTAAAAAGAAAATACTAAACAAAGACGGTTAGCTCCATGGTATAATACTGAAACTCGCAAATTAAAGCAAATATCTAAACTTGAGAGGAATTGGCGTTCCACCAAACTGGAAAATTCTCGTTTAATTTGGCAAGATAGTCTTAAAACTTATAGGAAGGCCCTCCGTAATGCCAGAGCAGCGTACTACTCGTCATTAATAGAGGAAAATAGGAACAACCCAAGGTTTCTTTTCAGCATTGTAGCCAGGCTGACAGAGAGTCACCGCTCTATTGAGCCAAGTATTCCCATAGCTCTCAGTAGTTACGATTTCATGAGCTTCTTTAATGATAAAATTCTAGCTTAGAGACAAAATTCACCAAGACCTGCCCTCAATTGGCACCGACTTATCTCTTAACTCAGGAACCTTTGAAACAGCTGTAGAACCAGATACATGTTTAGACTGTTTTGCTTCCCTCAATCTTTACCAACTAACTTCAATAATTTCTTCATCTAAACCATCAACCTGCCTCTTAGACCCCATCCCGACTAGGCTGCTTAAAGATGTTTTACCCTTAGTCAGCACCTCTATACTAGATATGATCAATCTATCTTTATCAACAGGTATGTACCACAGTACTTTAAAGTAGCTGTAATTAAACCTCTTCTGAAAAAGCCCAACTTGATCCGGATGTTTTAGCCAACTATAGACCTATATCTAACCTTCCATTTCTCTCTAAGGTTCTGGAGAAAGCAGTTGCTAAACAGCTGTGTGACTTTCTACAGAGCAATAGTTTATTTGAGGATTTTCAGTCAGGATTTAGAGCTCATCATAGCACAGAGACAGCACTGGTGAAAATTACTAATGACCTCCTTATTGCATCAGACAAAGGACTTGATACCATTGACCATCAGATCCTATTGCAGAGACTGGAATATTTCATTGGCATTAAAGGACCGCTCTAAGCTGGTTTAAGTCCTATTTATCATCGATTTCAGTTTGTACATGTTAACGATGAGTCCTCCATGCACGCCAAAGTTACTCATGGAGTTCCTCAAGGATCTGTCCTTGGACCAATCCTCTTCACTTTATATATGCTTCCTTTAGGCAATATTATCAGGAAACATTCCATAAGCTTCATTGTTATGCAGATGATACTCAGTTATATCTATCGATCAAGCCAGATGAAACATCAGTTAGCTAAACTTCAAATGCCTTCAGGATGTTTAAAACCTGGATGAGCTGTAATTTTCTTATGTTAAACTCAGATAAAACTGAAGTTATTGCTCTGGGGCCTAAGCACCTCCGTGACGCATTATCTAAAGATATAGTTTCCCTGGATGGCATCGCCTTGGCCTCCAGCACCACTGTGAGGAATCTTGGAGTTATCTTTGATCAGGACATGTCGTTTAAGTCCACATTAAGCAAATTTCAAGGACCGCCTTTTTCACCTACGTAATATTGCGAAAATCAGGAACATCCTGTCTAAAAATGATGCAGAAAAACTAGTCATGCATTTGTTACTTCTAGCTGGATTACTGCAATTCCTTATTATCAGGCTGCCGAAAAAGTCCATTAAGACTCTTCAGCTGATCCAGAATGCTGCAGCACGGTGTTCTGACAGGAACCAGGAAAGAGATCACATTTCTCCTGTTTTAGCTTCTTTGCATTGGCTTCCAGTAAATCCAGAATAGAATTTAAAATCAT